CAAATCGGTGCAGCCCTGAGAGCCAGGGGGGCTAAGGGCCGAGCGGGGGCTGGAGTGGGGTCCCCCCCCCAACTGCCGGGAAGGGTCTCTCGCAGGCCTCCCCTGCTAGGTCAGTGGGCCTTCCCCCCCCCCCCCGGAGAAGGAGAAGGTTGGGGTCCCAGGGCAGATCCTATCAGGAGGCCAATTTGGGGGGGGGGTCTTGGCTGGCTAGAGCTTTCCGAAGGAGCCTTCCTGAAGAGGCTTAACTGAGGGGGGGGAGAGAAGGAGAGGAGGGGGGGCTCGTTCTCTCGTTAAGCCGCAGTGCCCCCCCTCCGTCTTTAACCTTCTCCCCCCCGTGAGCAAAGCCTTTCAGGTGTGCAGCCGGGCGGGGCAACCATCTCCTGGCTTCCAAGGAGTCAAACGCTGCCCCCCCCCCGCCCCCCCAGGTCGGACTGGATGCTTCCTCTCCTGTGGCAACCCCTGTCTAGGCAGGCCGTGCCCTTCCGTGGGGCTGCTGGAGCCCCCTGTTGCCGCTGCCCGTCCAGCCCTTCCCAGTCCTGTCTTGGTTCCCCCCAAACCCCTCGAACGGCTGCCCTGTGGGACCCATTTGGCCCCGATCCATGCTTCCTGCTAGGTGGCCTCCAAGGCCAACCGAGATCCTGGCAGAAAGCAGGGGGCAAGAAGGATGAGGCCGCCCCCGTCGACCCCTCCTCCACCTCCACCGGTTTTGCCAGGGGAGGCTGAGCCGAAGGCTCTTCCGAAGCCCAGCATGGTCTCCCAGGGGCGGCTGGAAGGGCAGCAGCCCAGCCGCTAGCCTGTCTCTCTGGCTTCCCCGCAGGTGCCCCCCATTCGGCCAGCAGCACCTCCCTGCACTCGGAGCGCTCGGGCAGCGGCACCAACCTGGGCGCCTTCAGCCTGAAGCCGGAAGGCAGCGGCATTCACCAGCGGTCCTACTCGGTCTCCAGTGCTGACCAGTGGAGCGAAGCGGTGGCGATGCCCGGGGCCACGGCCAGCGTGGGTGAGTGGCGTGTCCGCGGGAGAGGAGACTCTAGGCGCCGGGAAACGTGGGGATTTGCACGGAGGCCCGTCTTCAGCTTCCCCAGTCGAAGAAAACCCTCAGCTTAGTGGTCCCCTTGGGATGGCCCCCCCTGTTTATGTGGGTCTGGGGCTGGAGTGGGGGCACGGATGCGCCCCTGCTGGCTCTCTGGGGAGGAAGGCGACTCAGGTGCCCCCACTCGGCTCCCAGTGCCGGGTTCCCTCCCAGGGTGCCCCTTTTGTTCGGTGCCACCCACCCGCCCGCCTGCAACCCACTGCTGGACCTCAACCGCCTGTTCCCTCCCCCTCCCCCCCTCCGGGAGCCTGCACAGGTGCCTTCTCCGAATCCTCCTCAGAGGGAGGGGCCAGGCTGGCCCCAGACGCTGGGCAGGGGGGCGGCTGAGCCCCTCCAAACCCAGGGCAGCAGGGCCAGGAGACCCTCCGGCAGGCGGCTGAGCCGAGCACACCAAAGCCCCCCCCCCCCACCGCCGTTGCCTCTCGCCTCGCCCGCCTCCCCGTTTCAGGACAGTTGAGTGAATTAAAATAATTCATACATTTCCCAACGCAGCCACTTTGCCGAATTGGAAAATAAATGCTTCTGTGCGGCATCCATCACTCGGTGCTTCCTGGCTCGGCCGGCACAGTAAAAAAGCCGTTAAACGCACATCAAGAGCGAAGCCGCCTTTCCGCAATGCCTCCTCGCCCCCTTGTCGTTCTCATTAGCGCGGCAGCCGCCCCCGCCCCCCTCCCAGGGGCTTTCGCAGTTTAAAGAGAGCCTCTTTATGATCATTACCGGAGTCCGACTGCGCCGACGCCATTTGGAGCTGGGGAGGCTCCTCATTTGTAACTGTGAAAAACTATCAATTTCAGCGCGCCTGGCGCAGCGCCTCCATCATTGGCCCATCAGCTCCCTGCTGGAAGCGAATTAATCAGACTGTTACTGCTGATGGGGCAGAGCGAGCGGGCGAGGGAGCGGGCGGTGGCGGCGGTGGTGGCAGGAGACAGGGCAGAGGGCCCGGCCGGTCCTGCAGCCGTCTGGGGAACGCCTGCCCTGCTCGGAGGCCGGGCCGGCCGGTGGAGGAGGGAGGAGGAGGAGCTGGCCAGTGGCCGGAGAGAGCTGCAGGCTCCCTGGAGGGGAATTCTGTGCTGGGAATTGAGCCCCCGCCCCCCTCAGCAGAGCCACTCTAGGCTTCAGTGGGAGCTGGTGAATGTGGGGTTAGGAGTCTGGAGGAGGCGGGGGTCTTGCCTCCTTCCCAAAAGACTGGGGGAGCCTTGGAGACCCCCTCAGCCCGGGCTCTCCTGCCCTGACCCCAAAGGCCAGTGGACGATCTCCCCATTGGGGGCCCCAATTCCCTTGCATAAGCACAGCCCCAGTGCTGGGGGGCCGGTGGAGGGGCAGTGTGACCGACGGCAGCCAGGAGAGGGAGGGGCTTGCCCTTCAGGCTCCGTGGCTGCTCTCCCTCTCTGTCTCACCCACACAGGTGCCCTTCGGCTGCCCCGCTGGGGGTCTCATGGCCAGGTGGGATTGGCCCCCTCTGCCTGCTCCTGGGTGCTTGGAGTGGGGCGAGGGCTGCTAGGAGCCCCCGGGGGGCTTGACCCACACCCAACACTGCCGTGGGGGAAGGACTGACGCCCCCTCCCGCCTTTGAGCATATGGACTTCGCTGGGGACGGGGGGGGGGGATGAGAGGACAGTGCTGGTGGAAGGATGGTGCTGGCTCCCCCCTCTCCCTGCCCCTCTGCCCCTGGGAGGGGGGCCCTGGGCCCCGTCGGCACTGGCGGGGCGGCTTCCTCCCGGCGCTGATTGGAGGCACTTGGCTCTCCGCGGCTGGAAGTGAATGTCAGCGTTCTGATTTTGTTGCTGGTCTCTAATGAAATTTGACATTTAATGGTGAGAGCCGCGGCGGCGTGTGTGTGTGTGTGTGCGTGCGTGCGCACGGGTGTGCGGGTGTGATCGAGCTTGATTAGTGCACTCTAATTGACAGTAATTAGCCAGCTCCCTGATTGTTTCTAATTCTGCTATTAATTGTAAGGAACAGTATGATTGAGGATATGCTTGGCGCATGGCAGCTAGCGACGTGTCTCTCCGCCGCCCTGGCAGGGGTCTGCCGAGGCCCTGGCTGGCAGCGGGAGCCCTTTCGGTGGGGCCTGACTCTTTGCTTCTCCTGCCCCCCCCTTTCTCCCCTCCCCCCTCCAGCCAACGGTGCCAGCGACTCCCTCACTTCCAGCCCCAACGTCTCCAGCACTGCCAGCCCCAAGTTGGAGCCGCCGCCCTCCCCTCATGCCAACCGGAAGAAGCACCGTCGGAAAAAGAGCACGGGTACGGGCCGACCCGACGGGGCGGGCAGCGTGGCTGAAGGTGAGCTCGCAGGGGAGCGGCCTCTGGTGGGAGGAGCCGGGCACAGGCCGGGGCACCTGGGAAGTCCTCCCCCCATCTCTGCCCTGTGGCCCCGGCCTGTGCCAGCGACGGCGTCCGAGCTCTCCCCTGGGGGTTGGAGGCAGCCCGGGGAGGGGGGAGGGGAGGGAGGTTCACACCGACAGGGCTGGAAGTGTTGCCAGTGAGGGTTGCCAATGAGGGCACAGTCGCCGGGGTCTCTGGGAGGAGCCGCCTAGTGCATGGTTTCCCGGGTTCAAACGACTCCATTCAACGCCCGTTGACCCAACAAGCTGCGTTGACAGCGGGGCGTCGGTGGGAAGCCACCCGGGGCTTTGGGCTGGCGAAGGGCTGTGCTGGCAGCCCCCAGCCTAAAGTTGGCACCCTGGGAGGAGGGCGGGCGAGGCCTGGGGATGAATTGCCACCCCCTTTCTCTCACTTAGGAGCTAATCAGATGGGGGAGGGGGTGCGCCATGAATCTTCCGTGCTCTGAAGGGTCATAAATCACAACACACACACACACACACACACACAGAGGCTCCTGCTCTTCCCATGGGCATGTTTTTTAAAGTGGCTGGCATCCACCCCGCCAGTTGACATGCCCCTGGCCTTGGGTGGGTTTTTTTTGGGGGGGGGGGCGGCTGGCATCATCTGCAAGAGCCTCCGAGGGCTATCAAAGCTGGGGGCACAGCCAGTGGGGCCCGAAAGAGAGGGAAGGGGGCAGAAGGCATTCCCACCCACCCTGCCAAGGAGGACCGGCTGACGGCCTTCCTCCGTCCTGTCCTGCTGTGATCTCTCTGCCACGGGGTGGGCTTGGGCGGGGCCCCCTTCAAACCTCCCTCCTCTGCCACCGGCCACCGCTCCCCAATGGACCACCCTCCCTTCTGCGGAGGTGGGGGGCTCTTCCTGTTCTCCCCACCCTCCACAGTCTCCCGTGGCTTCGCCCCCCCCCCCTGTGCCGTGCCTTGCCGGGTGGGGGAAAGCAAGAAGGGCAGGGGGGGGGGTCCCACTGCATTAATACAGGTTGCGAATATTGGGTTTAATGAGCTGCAAAATGAGGCGGCAGCCGAGCGAGGTTAACAAATGGGCCCCCGCCTCACGCAGGTCCCCCCAACCCCCCCCCCCGGTGGCTGGCAGAGTCCCCGGCAAGCCTTTTGTGCCAGGGGAGGGGCAACCCTGCCCCTCCTTTCCCCTCCTACAGGGCTGGGGTAGTGGGACCTGCAGGGGACCCCACCGCCAGGGCAGACATCGGCACACACACACACACACACACACACACATCCCACACACATCCCACACGCAGATCCAGGGGAGTGGGCTCCATCTCGGTGGTGTGTGCGGATGGCCCGTGGGCGCCACACTGCGGGAAGTGCCCCGAGGTGGCAGCCTTGGCCGGCGGGGGCCGCTTGACCTGGCTCTCCTGCTTCCTTGGCGGTGCCCCCGCTAATTTCCTCCTCGTTTGGAGGGCTTGTTGCCGTGGCAGCGTGGGAGACGAGGTCGCTGGGTGAACGCCCATTAACGGTGGTGGCCGCCATAGCCGAGCTGCAGTGCCACCCTCAAGAGGCTTTCGCTCCGTGAAGCACCATCCAGGAAGAATCAGGCGACACGGCTGCCCCCAGCCCTTCTTCCTCCCTCTGCCCACCGATTCTGCCTGCCCGCCTGCTCCCCCATCATCCAGGCCACCACCTGGGGAGGGGAGGGGGGTGGCTCGCCAGTGCCAAGTCCTGAGCTGCGCTGCCCCTCTCCGCTCCGCCACCCCTCCCCCGTCTCCCATCAAATTACGCAAATGTTCCTCTAATTTCTCAGTTGGTCAGTCACCGAGCTAATGAGTTGAAGGGGGGGGGGTTGCCCCTGGGCTCCCAGGAATGCAATGCGAGGGGGGGGACGGAGAGGGCTGCGTAATGAAGTGCTGCTGGTGCACGGGCAGCCCCCCACTCCCCAGCCCGGCCCACCCCACCATCGTCCCCCAGGCCTGCCATCCTGCAAGCCAAGCTCTTCCCCAAAACCCTGGGAGTGGGGCGGGAGGCACAGACCAAGGCTGCCCAGGATGCCAGCAGGGCTCAACCGGGCTCAGGACAGGATTCGGGCAGCTCCAGAGGCAGGGCAGAGAGAGAGAGGCACCAGCCACAGAGGGAAAAGGGGAGTGTGTGTGGATCTGCAGTGGGCCTCCTCCGTCTCCCGCCTGTCCCGTCGGAAAGCCCGGAAGCCTTCCTGGCACTTGCCTGGCACTTACCCTTCGGCTGGGCCTGGTGGTCTCCGTTCTCCTGGGGCTCCCTTGCGAGCTCTGCCCCTGCATGGCGATCGGGATGGGTGAGCCTGGGAAATGATGGTGCCACTTCTTAAAACTGGTCTAAAAATCGGTGCCTTGGTGCCACCGGACCTCGGTGCCCTTCCGAAGGCGTTTCTGGGCCTCGGACCCTCCGCCTCTCCACCGCCCTTTCAGGCAAGGCCCCTTGAGGAGAGGCCTCTGCAGTAGAGAGGGGAGGGGGCTGCTGGAGGGTCCCCTGGGTCTTCTTTTGTCCTCGGGGCAAAGGGGCTGGCAGAGCGGAAGAAGTGGGGACGCAGCTCTCTGAGCTCCGGTGGGGAAACTGAGGCCGCCCCCTCCCTCCCTCCCTCCCTCCCTCCTGCAGACCAAGAGGAGAGCTTCGAGTTCATCGTGGTCTCCCTGACTGGACAGTCGTGGCTCTTTGAGGCCTCCACGGCCGAGGAGCGGGAGCTGTGGGTGCAAGCCATCGAGAGCCAGATCCTGGCCAGCCTGCAGGGCTGCGAGAGCAGCAAGCACAAGGTGTGTGTGTGTGCGTGCGTGTGCGTGTGTGTGTGCGTGTGTGCG